GCGCTCTTGCTTGCCACGGCGGGCGCCGCTGAAAACACGGGCAACAATGCAGAGTGCGATCTGGTCTTTCTCAAGCGAGGAGCAGAATCTTTGCTGCTCGCTCCCCGCGAACCAATCATCCAGCACGACCTCGTTGCCGACCGCCAGACCCTGGAGACCGGAGCCTGGGCAGATTTCACCCCGCCCCCCCTTGGAGCGCCCCTTCCACGGTTCATTTCCCGTGAGCCCGGAGCAAAATCTATGTCTCATCGCTATGTTGACACGTTGAGCAACATTGTCTATGGCTTCTCCTTCCTCCAAGAGATTGTCAGCAAAAACAGGAATGCAACGCTTATCTTTGACTGCCGAAACAATGATTGCGCCGAGGCCGCATCCGCGTTCAGCTACTATCCCAACCTCCGCCAGAATGCTGCTATCCAGTTTTACGGCTATACCATCCGCAACTATGAGGATTTCAAGCAAAAAGTTCTTGCGTTTAGTCCACACGCTGATTGGAAGGATATTTTCTATATTCCCGTTATGGTGCCCGAAGTACTGCCTATTCTTGCAGGCCTCCCCAGCAACTCGCATGATTATAGCTGCATGCTTAATAATGCCAAGAACTGGTTTGTTTCAATGATCACAAGCGGCCTCAACATTGCGGCCCTCTCACTCGGTGCAGTTGGCATTGGAAAAGGGGTTAGTTTGGAGACAATGGAAGTCCGAGATCTCAAAGGCGAACCCGTGACTGATACCAAAGTCAAAGCAGAGTTTATCAAAGACAAGGTCCTGCTTGACCTCCTTCAGTGGATCAAAACCAATTACCCTCAATACCCGCTCATTGGTATTTCTATTACTTATGGCTTCAAGATAGATGACAAATTCTATACTCCTGCATTCCACACCGGTACTCCAAAGGAGATGCCCACTGGACAAGCAGGGCAAGGTTGGCAGTTGCGTGCGGTGCCCGGGAACCCCTTCCGCCTTGGTTTTGATTGGGCAATTTGCGATCGCCCTTATGATAATCTTAACTATATCCTCGGTACTAAGGATTATGAATGGCCCGCTGATGTTACCAACCCCGAGCGCGACATTGCCAATGCCCCTGTAGGCTGTTGAATATTGGGTGGCCTCCCGTGGGCCTCAATTTGCAAAAACCCAGATTATATTCTAAATACCTGAAAGTCCTTGAACAGTCCAACAGCCCATAAGGTCAAAGATGGGTTGAGGGCAGAAATTACCTCTCTAAGCCCTATTTTAGAAGGGTCCCTTGTAGACAAACTAGATAAATCTCAGGCCTCAGTTCGTGTCAGCACAACTAAGTAAGTAAGCTACTTGTAGATGAAAGATAAATATAAATCTACAGTAAATAAGTAAACTGGTAGATGAATAAGAAAGGAAAGGCTCACCTCAATTGTTGCATACTAGGTACAACTGAGGTAGGTAAAGTATAGGCTACGCAGTGACCGGGAACGGAACCAGATTTTGACCAACTTGTTCTTGTGAATACAATTGTTTCCGATTAGAAGGCCTCGAGTCAGGAATTGCAAAAACCTGCCAATCACTGAGTTCACTTACATGTGGGAACGGGCCGGACAACAGTTATTTACGAGATTATGCAGTGAAGTATCGAGATGCGGATGACTTTTACTCAGTGAGGGGAAACATGGGGGACAACGACTAGGAGGACACTTTGAATGGAGAGCATGAGCTCCGAGTGGGTTGGGTGAGGTTATCTGTGGTTTTGAAGATTTCTCGCTCCTGAATGTACTACTATTAATAAATACAGTCCCCATGGAAGTACCTCACAACTGACAGGTGTTTCATATATTAGATGGCGGAAGACATTATGTTTCTGACAGATGGGGATGAATTTGAAGTATCAGACGTGTTGTTCTTGTTGTATATAATGCTTTGCCAATCATTACCCACCCAGCTATTGATGCCTCATATATATTTATTATTCTGCAGTAAGTATATAAGGCCTTCTCTAAGGCCACTACCTATAGTATCCAATCAAGTATCTTCTGTCCCTCGAGCCTCATGGCTTCAGTCCCTGCGCCGGATATTTACAACAGTTCTTACCGTTAATTTTTTCATGACACCAGAGTCAGATGCGCCCAAAGCTTGAAACACGACATAAGATATATGCGCTATATCCACAAGATCCGGAACAGACGCACCAGAGGTAAAAATATGGGAAGGGAGAAACTAGATAACATCTCCGACGTGCCGTGGATCGGCGAGAGAACATTCAATGATTAGTCCTTACAGGGTTTGAGGCCTACTTGCGTATGAATGCCAAGAGCGAGTCTAACAGAGAGTAGAGGGCACAAAGAGGGCAGCGAGTATAAATTCGAGCAAGTTGCAGAAGGAGCAGAACTGGGCAGAACCACTCAAGCATCATAGATCTAGATGCAGTGTCAAGTTACTTCAATGGTGACGAAAACAGCCCGAATGATAGCGATGGACAGATGAAAACGCAGCGCGCAAATTGGCTAACCAGTAGTTACCAGACTTTCGATGAAACTTTTCACATAGTCTTGGCAGAACCTCCCAGTTCCCTAACTAGATGAATTAAAACATCAAGATACTTAAAAAGATGTTCATTGAAGTTTTCCAAGCACTTCCAACTACTGACGCCCGAGGTGCGAGTTTTATCCTCGATACTTATTCTCAATGCTCATAGGTTTAGAGGCAAGTTTTTGATCCTCCTGACTTGACGGCACAAACAAGAGAGCTCGCATCTTTGACAGTAAAAGTCAATACCATTCACAAAACAGCATTAGATTCAGTCTGATAAATTGGGGTTGACAGCTTAACTGACCAATACCATGAGCTTTGGGCCCTGGAGCCTGGAAAATTCTTATCAAGGGCTTCTTGACAAGGAAAGCGACTTCAAAAACACGCACGACCCATATGCATACGAGCCTGAAATCAAGAGAAATCAGCAGCATCAAATATTGCCTCTTTCAAGTTTTGGTAACAGTGGTTCAATGCGGTGGTCACTCCTGGCTATTGTCGGAGGATTACTTGCTGGAATTGTGGTTATGATTTGTAACCACGTCTTCTTTGCCTTTCTAAGTGGAAAGCGTTCAGATCTGTACTCTCAGTTTTGGATCACGATTGCAAAGAACACATTTCCCCAAGTAGGGCAGGTTGCCCTTGGGGTGTCAATGAGTTGTAGTTTAACACATGCGGTATGTTTTGAGCTGTTCATTGTTTGCCCTGATCTCATGAAATAATATCCAGGTCTGGTATCACGTCGGGCGTCGCTCGCATACCCTACCTGAGCTCGACCGCTTGTTTAAGCTCTTCAGCATTCCATCCTTGCTCCGTGTCATTTTTAGCCGCCAAGTCTTCTTCATTCTACCCCTCATTGTGATTGCGGCCATTAACCTGTCTCTTGCGCTGCTTCCTGTGCTTGTTCCCGGGGCGCTCACCATTGAAAGTGGTACCATTACATCCACGGTTGGTCAGGTTCCTTCGTTGGATCTGTCTTCCATGTATCCACTTAGTGTTACCAACATGAACACATTTTCCAATTACTTGCAGCCATCAGATCTTTTCAAACAGGCTATCTATGTAGCTGCTACGACCGATGTCACACCTGGATGGCATGTACCCGAGGGAGAATGTACCTCTGCGTTGAGTTGCTCTTACACGTTTAATTATAGTGCCCCCGCCCTCCGATGTACCGACCTTTCACCAAATGACATAGGTAATGGGACTGACCCTGGCAATGGAACAGCGGTCTTGATCAATCTCGATGACTGGGAGTTGCCCGACAATAGGAACTTTGTCGGGACTTACAATGCCACTTCAAATCTCAACCGGACAGAGCCAATAGCGTTTACAAGTGTCTGGAATGATACCTCCCCTTGTGATTTGACAATTGCTTGTATTCCCCACTTTGGGGTCAACAACCCTTTAGCATTGCAGGATTCAGAGCTCACCCCAGTAGGCTCAACATGCACCTTTTGGAATGCGACATATTCTGCGACAACAACATTTGTCAATAACACCCAAACCACTTCCTCGCAGGTACTCTCGTACAATTCACCCATCTCGCCTTCGAACTGCTCGATCGATGCATGCATCAATAGTTGGGGCGGTAGCACCTCAATCCTCTCGCCCGACGCCAACTTTGCCATAGCAAGTCGTGCCATGGCTGAGACCTTTGTTGATCTTTTCTTAGGGAACTTGACCTTCTATGGTCATACAGGGACCTTCCTCGGTGCCGGAGAAACAACATCCGCGCAACTCACCCCGCTCTTCTCTGTGAACAGCACGGTGGACTTGTGGTCATTCGATCTGACTTCTCCCTCTGGGAATTTAAGTCAAGGGCTCACAAATCTGTTCACTAACACCACCCTTGCCTTCATCTCCATCGCTTCCAACTTAACATATCCTTCATCAACGCCCCCCACTACTCTTGCGAAAATGCAGATTCTGCCTTCGTATAACCAATACCACTACGTCTATTGGAAACTCTGGTTAATCTATGGGTTGGCTGTGTTGGCTGTCAGCATTGGTGCAGTTTATGGGATATGGTGCATGAGAGTAGATGTTCATCCAGACGATATGAGCTTTTCGGAGATGGTGGCTGCGACGAGGTATATGGATGTGAATTTGGCAACGATAAAGAACGAGGGCGCTATGAGGCTGCAGTATTGTGAGGAACTTAAGCCTATAGATGCTTTCTGGGGGAGAAGCAGTGCAACCCGGCGGAAGGTGTTCACAGTGCTAAGCTAAGCTTAGGGTATACGTACAATCAGAGAAACAATTAGATCTGGTTACATGAGTCCTATATGATACGACTGGGTTTCCGATTATTTCCGGAGTGTGTTGGATGTGTTGGATTTATATACCTAATGTGTACGTACTACAAATAGCATGTTGACTGTGACGGAGACATCAAAGTAGTGGGCAAATTTGTAGGCGAGTAGGACAAAAAGAAATATGAAAAACGGAAATATGATCTTACATTGCGAAAAATTGACTGAATAGCAGAATGTTTAGAGCCTGACCAGGAATTGAACCCGGGACCTCGTCGAAAGATACAACTACAGGTTACAATCCCCACATAGTAACAACGAATCATACTCCTAGACCATCAGGCCGATGCGGAAGGACGCTTGAGGAGCTTGAGGATAGGTCTCAGAGGGTATATCTGCATTTTGGTGGGCTTGCATCAAAGGCTCTACTACCCAACTTAGCGCATCCTCTTTGCTAGTGTGAACCATCTAGTTATTGACAGGCCTACAAGGACAAGAACACAGAAACTGGGTGACTAGGTTTGAAGATTGACATGTAATCTATCGAAAAAAGAACTCATAAAAGTGCATGAGTAGGGCCTGACCGGGAATTAAACCCGGGACCTCGTCAAAAGAATGTGTCTTAATGGGTACCCTTACAACGAATCATACTCCTAGGCCATCAGGCTGATGTTGAAGGACGCTGGAGGAGCTTGAGGACAGGCCTCAGAGGAGATTCTACTTAATACATATGAATTTTGGTGGGCTACCTGTTAGTATACACCATCCAGTTAAAACTTTCTATTGACCTAGCAGGAATCAGACAAAGGACAGGGAACAAGGGGGGCTCGGGTCGTGAATCCATTACATCGGGTCGATATTTTTTTTAAGACCCAAGCTGAGACACCGACCGACCGAAAAGCTTATGTAAACTACTATATTGGGAATTTTTCTTCCACGCAGGTCAAAGCTGGTGTTACGTTGCCATTCCACAGAAGTGTTCACTTTGACCATGAACCACAAACACTCAAAATCTCTGTATCCTATGGCCAATACATAGCTATGAGGACCACTAATTTCAAGCTTGCAACTATCTATGTAGATTATGTTGTGGATTAAGTGATCTGGTAACACTTGTGCATGTAGGAATTTGGACTGGAATATTTCCAAGTGCCTCCGTGTACAAACCTGGACTGACTCATATGGACTAGAGTCATAATGTGTCAATATTGCATTGACTCATTTGTAGTACATCATTACTGTGCATTGAGTCATTGACTGTGCATGACTGTGCAATGATTCTAAATGACTCATAATGACTTCACATGACTTGCCTGGAATTATAGCTAGTCAATTCCCTTATATAGTGTAGTATACAGTTGTATGGTATATAAGTACCTAGTTTTATGGAATGAGATCCCATCGGGTTGTTGACCCAGGGCTTTACCCATCTCCACCCTCTGGTGTGCTTTTGTCTCCACATTTGGAGGATGAGCGTAGCTTGTATCTGAATTTTCCCCCTTTACAACAACAGTGCACTCGGTTGTTAGACCTTTAGTACAATTGTCTGGGTCTCCCCCAGGACCTCTACAGTATTTATACTACTTACAATACCTTCTAGAATATTCTACACAGTACTGGTAAGTAGGCTGAGTAAGTAATGAGTAATACTAACAAAAGTACTAGAATGTTCCAGTACAGACTCAAATCTACAACAGGTTAGACTGTCTTTCATAATGTTTGATAAGATAAGATTACATAGATATATTTGAATTCAGGCAATGTCCAGCCTGTATGTGAGAAGATGTCCTCAATATAGCCTCAACATGCATGCTTCCAGCTTGGTGGGCTTAAGTTACAACAAAGTTCTCAAGGGCTGACAGTGCATCACAGTGCATACATCCCTCAAAAATCCTGGTGTGAAATTTTTTTTTAAGGCCCTCACCGAGACACCAACCGACCGACCCGATATCACGGGTTCACGGCCCGGACCCCCCTTGGTAAATAGAACCAAATCATCTTCTTCTAGCAGTGGGATCCAAATGGGATCCAGATTACGAACAAAGGCGGGACTTTTGTACATTGATAATCATGAGGGCGACATTATATTCACCATATACCACAGTGAACCCACGAGAAACCCCCTAACTGTAAGTACCTTTCTTGTATATATAATAATTGATGACCGAAGTTTAATTAAGCAAATAAATAACCCCTTAAAGTCCGAAAAAACTCGCGATAGCGACCACTGACTAGATGTACAGATATGTATGAAGAGCGACATCGGCCCCCCAGCTTGACTTTATCCATGACAGGAACTCGCGATAGCACTATAAAAACTATCCAACGGTATTGTTTTGGGTTTACATTTCCTTTCGTTCTTTCCTCCTTTCGTTCCTCTTTCGTTCTCTTCCATTCCATGCTTTCCCCCTCCCCCATCCGCCACTCTTTACCTTCCCGTTTCTCCTATCCTCATTTTCTGCTGTGCGAAAAATGGGCGACGTAGTATCTGAGGCCTTCAACATGGGCATTGTGCCAAACCCTGCGCCTTTTACCACTTGCCATTCACTAACGTATGATTTGCACTCTAGTTTCAATTCCTCTTCTACGGTACGGATCGTGTTATTCTCCGTCCGCATACACCCGCTCATGGAGTTTGTTCAGGTGCATACATAATTCTAGGAGGAGTATATATTTTGTTACAACTTCGACAAGTGAAACTAGACAAGAAGTTTCAACATCCAATCTATCCTATCTCCTTGCTTGCGTTGTTTGTACTTGCAACCGGAGGGATCATAGTGTCTGTGTATGAGGTGGAGAACGTTATCGAATTCGTTATCATCGAACTTGGACGCAACTGGCAGGGCGCGGAATCTTGAGAACTACAGGTGTGTTTGAATAATAATTACATTCAATTGCGAAGAATTGTATTTAAAAGCGGGTTTTTTTTAATTTAGGACGGCGATCTCAGCGCTATTTGGGACTGCAAAGTGGGTTGTCCTGATACTTACATACTATATCAACGTTCAAACAAATCTTCTAGCTGGGTGGCTGATGGTGTGCTTGTTCATTCTTTCTACTATTTCTACCGTGTTACGAGTTCTCAATGATACTCCATGGGAAGGTATACCGCTGTTATCATGTATGGAATAGGAAGGTTTGGGTTCCTCTCGTTCCTGCTGTCTTGTCCGTGATCAATGCTGGTACGTGTGCCTTATGCCCCTATTAACCAAATTGAGTGTTGACTCGGAGTAACTCCTAGCCATATCTTATGCCGTTCACCACCGGTCAGTCCAATGATGTTACAATAGGGGGCCACCTCAACTTTGTTTTCCTGGGCGTGACCATCTTCAATAACCTTCTCCTGACAGGACTTATTGGTGCGTCGAGTTGACCCTACTTGCAGCCATGACAAGTGTAATTGTGTATTTAGCCGGCCGCATTTGGTGGCTGAACAGGGTCCATGCTCGCCTTCTGGGTATTGACGGACAAGACAAACGGTTGAATGCAATCGTGTCTATGCTGTATGTCTTGTCTGATTCTCCTGCCTTTTTTTCCACTCGCGTTCAACTCCCGTTTGTCAGTGTTGAGTCAGGAACACTATATCCTACTGCCCTGATTATCTGCTTAATCATTGAAGTCAAGGGTTGACCCGCCACGATGACCCCCATCCTTCTCCAGGTGGTGGTGCGTATAATATCTTCGACTTTGAGCTTTACTAAATTGATCACTTTTGCTTTTTCAGCCTGAGGGAATTGTACCGACGCTCATTATGGTGAGGACCCTGCTTGGCCTTGGTGTCGGGGGATCTCCTCATAGGAGTGTAGAAGCTGAGGCTGAAGTGGACGGAGACCTTGAGCCTCCGACTCTCCGCTACACCGATGTCAAGAGAAAATGGTCCAATGCAACCAGCTCTTTCCCTTCGGAATCTGCAGCATCTCCGTCCAGGTATACTTATGTCCACGACGATTTACATGGGACATTAGTCTGTGGGCCTTTAGAGATTCCCGCATATCATTGCGAGAGGGAGTCGGACACGGGTTATCAATCAGAAAAGCAGCAGATTGAGCTGAGATATGAGCCTCAAGAGGCGTCTGTTCCAACTACCAGCGTTGGGACGGTCAAACCTCCATCATCGTCATCAAAGCAACAGCATTTTGATATCAAAAAATTACAACCCCTACGATATTCCACCGAGCAGGTATAGATGACGAGATGAAGTGTAATGTCCATTGTCAACATGATTTTATTTAGCTTATATCTCCAACTATCTTTAATCTCCGACTATCTTTAATCAACCCAATCATTTATACACTGTCTTGTGAGCTCTTGTGAGCTATGCGAGCGAATTGGGAGGTTTTGAGCTGTATTATTCTTCGGACATGGTGGGATCCTTTGTGCGTTCTTTAGTATGCCTGAGGCATAGGTATTGGTAACTTAATACGTGGGTTAGCGTATCGATATAGGACCCAAGGACCAGAAACGCTACAGCCTTGGTAATAGATTCGCCATAACTTGGTACCTTGGGGGGCAAAAAAAGACAATATAAAAAGTGGTGGACGCAAAAACATGAATAAATAAACACTCCCACCATCATTACATCCCCCGAGGAGCATCCTTCCGCAGACAACGTGGGCACCCTCTTGCCTTAGTTAGTGTCGGAGCATAATGATTCACGAGTATGTGGCCTAGTCACATCGACACACCCCCAGCGTCACTTCCGGTATTTAGATCAGAATAGAGCATATTTGCAACCACTAAAAAGGCGACATGTAATGCGGAGACGCTGATGAGACGACAAACGTGACTCTACGTGCTAACATCCGACGTGGGGCCACGATTTTCCTTTTTTGGACATATCTGGCTACTGTTGGTCAGTTCCTCTCAGAGTCCGATGCGGATAGTTCTTCCTTTTATGGACATATCTGAGTGCGGTGGTCAAAGATCTTCCCTTTTTTGGAAATATCTGACGATCTCACAGAGTTGTGTGGTGGTCAGAACTTCCTTTTTGGGAATACCTGGAATATTTTTGAAAAATGGCAAGAGGCGTGCAGCGAGTGCTTCAACACGTGATAAACGAGACGCTGGCTAGACAAATCCCGGTGCAAATATGCTCTAATAGAGCGTATTTGCAGCCGCTAAAAATGTTACATGTAACGCGGAGACGCTGATGAGACAAAACACATGACTTCAGTAGTTATTGTTGTGCTAGCATCTGACATGGAGTGACAATTTTCCTTTTTTAGACATATCTGACCACTCTGGTCAGTTTGAGTCGGATCGACGCAGGATGGTTCTTCCTTTTATGGGAATACCCGAGTGCGATGGTTATGGATCTTCCCTTTTTTGGAAATATCTGACGATCT